TTCTCAGGAAGAGGCTGATGCACTTCCAGAACCAGACGCAGGATGCTCTTCCATCTTGCGCATCTTCCCGTGCCCCTCCCCCAGGGGGGCCATTTATTTTGTGGGACTTTGTTTGCAGCCTGTGGCTTTTCCAATAAAACACTGCAAACCAAGCTTTGATGCGGATGGAAAGGTCGGTTGGGCTTCCCCAGAGGAAGGCGCCAGCTCCCACTCCCAAGAGGGTCACATAAAGCAAGTCATGGTCAGCTGGTGTCTGCTTGCTTCCCCAAGGCTTGCTTTCAGCCATTGCTGAGGTTCATTTCCCTGCTCCAGGACCACAGAACGACAGGCGTCCCCCAACCTGCCCGAGAACCAGAGTGCTGATGGAGGAGTTCACACGAATGCACAGCCTGGGCCTCTACCAAACGGTCCCTCTCCCCCGTGCACACACGAGGCAGCGGCACATAGATGCCACGTTCCCCCACAGAGGTCACCAGGGCTCTCGGAGCCCTGCACACGCGTGATGCACAAACTCAGCAGAAACCCTCGGTGAATCTGCCGTTCCCGAAAACCCCTGTGTGTGGCTTTTCCTTTCACACTGTTTCGAATTGCCTGAGTGAGCCAAATTCTCCCTTTGCAGTCACCAGACTCAGCAGGTTCAATGAAGTTTCTCCTCAATAGGAGGCTCTCTGGTGGGGACCACTCGTGGAACTTTCCAGAAGGTAGAAGCAAGTGGCTCAGAATATCTCAAAGTGGGAATGAAAGTCCTTGGACGTGTGGACGGATGAGTTTCAAAATGAGTGGGGTTTGGTTGGCTCAGGGGACCCAGAGTTCCAGGGAGCTGAAAGAAGGCACAGGCAAATCCTCAGAAAGGTCTCCTCTACAGAGGCCAAAGGAAAGGGATTTGAAGCCGATCTCCAGATACCCTGCAGTTCTCCACCCCAGCCTCAACCCCCATTGTTCAGTGAAAGGCCATTTGGAGGAAGAGACTAATTAATGAAATTGCCCATCTTCACTAATTGGCCTTGCCAGAAAATTGGTCTATTAGCAACAGGCTGAATGTCGTTACTAGGGAAAATGAAAAACCGCTAACGACAGTGTGCATCTTGGGATAACCACGAAAATGTCGTTACCGCCACCTCTGAGCTACAGTTTTAACTATAGAAGCCGGGCCATCCCGAATCACCGTTCCCATGGCAACCATAATTCAGGCGAAGCTGCAAGGCTTGTCGTGGATGCGGAGGGTGCCCGAGTGGCATCGTTGCTGGGAGAGTGCAGTTATTTTATTTACAGCCGTGCTGCAGGAAGTTTTATCTTATGGTCTTTGGAAATATGGTCATTAGAGACCAACAAAAGTCCTTCTGAATCACCGAAAAATATACGTATTGAGAGGTAGAAAAATGTGCAGCTCAGAGCTTCACATTTACAAGGTCAAAATGCAACAGAAATTGGAAAATTCTGTTCTTCCCTAAGCAGTATCTGAAATCTGAGATTTTTGAGCAATATAGTCCCAGCAATCAGACAACCAGGACAAAGAGGAAGGAAGATGGCGTCCTTCAAAAATGGCTTTGAGAAAAATATGTGCCCATTTAAACATTCACAAGACTTCATCATGCCAGCGATGATGTCAATTTGTGGTTTTAAGGATAAATGATCCACAAATCTTAGTTTGATTTCAAACATTTTCTTCGTGGAGGAAAAATAAAATCCTTAGATTGAGAAGTAATGAGGAAGTTAGAATCAAAATTAAGGCGTTCATTACAGCAAACGTTTTGGGAAAATGTGTCAGGTGCCCAAACGTGGTAAATGGAAGGATAAAAACTGGTCATTTCCCATTTTGCGGGCATTCTGTGGCCCTTCCATCCCAGAAAATCGTCTGATATTGACACTGGGGTTAACCCAACCCATCCAGGGTGTCTATTTTAAAAAATAGTATTAAGCTGGTACTTACCTATTATCTATCATAGAGTGATGTCATTTCCGAGAGTTAGAATCTGACCCCAAACAGATCAGAAGCTAACAAGGAAGAGATGAAGAAGACATCAGTAAGCAAAAAGGAATAAAAACTCATGGCCAAATCAGACTGAATCACTCTTTAGGGAATTTTTCTTCCCACGAATGAAGGGCAGGGGATGCAGTGGTGGGGATCAAACAAACAAACAAACAAGAAAACTGCCTTATATCACCAAACCAAAAAAGCCATAATCTAAAGCAAGACATGTCAGCACCTGGTGGCTGAGTAGTTGGGTTCCTAACTGTGCTCCTTCCCAGCCCTTAAAGACTCACCTTAAGGAAGTGAACTCAGGAAAGGAGAATGGAAAGCAAGAAAAGAGCCACGGGGCGCTTCTCCCTGTAGATGGGAGGCTTTGTGTCTAGGTTGTAAATGGGAAAAATGGCCCAAAACCCGAGAATGGCAAACATTGCAATTAGGTAGAGTTAGCAGCACCCAGAAATACAGACTGGATATCCCCTCCACGGAGCTCTTCCTTTCCCTACACCCTGTTCCTTTAGGCCCTAGAAGAAGAGAGAGCACAAAGCATTTCACCCTCAAGTTGTTGCTTGAGAAGAAAGACACTAGCTTTACTTTGGAAGCAAGAGACTCAATGAATCACTTGTGTTTTTGCAGAAATTTTTAAGTTTCTGGACAGGGAGGGTCAAGTACGAACAAGATGAAAAGAACCAGGAGGGCGGCTACCAAAAGTGTACCAGAATAGAACATGAGGTGCAAAGTAGAGAGATGTGGGCTGGCCCTTTGTGTGAGTCAGCTTTCCATTACTCTAACCAAATACCAGAGGGAATCAAATTAAAAAGAGGAAAGGTTATTTTGTCTCACAGTTTCAGGAGGCTCAATCCACACTTATCTGGGCCTGTGAGTAAACCTTCTATCATGGGGGGAGTGCATGGCAGAAGAAGCTCTCACCTTGCAGCCAGAAATGACAGAGGGAAGAGCTAGACCAGGACTCCATGATCACCTTCAAGGACATTTCCACCAGTAACCTAAAGACCTCCCTGTAGCCCCCACCTCTCAAAGGTTTCTCCACCTCAACCCTTTAACACAGTCCCTGGGGCACAGTCTGAACTTAAGTTACAGAGACAGAATCCTCACCGTGGCTTACTAAGAACAAAACTCGCACTCTTTGAACTTTGACAAAGTGTAAAAGTAATTTTAAAAAAGCTTAAAGACAAGGTGAGAGCATGATACTAAATGAAAAGCGGAAAATCTTAGTCAATCAACTGCTCAGAACCATGGTGGCGCACCAGACAGGAGGATCATGGGTTCAAAGCCAGCCTCAGCAAAAGTGAGGCGCTAAGCAACTCCGTGAGGCTCTGTCTCTAAATAAAATACAAAACAGGGCTGAGGATGTGGCTCAGTGGTCGAGTGCCCCTGAGTTCCATCCCCAGTACTTCACCTCCCCACAAAAACGACTCAGGACATCATTAATACAGAAATGATTAATTAGACACATTCACATGTGAGACCTGTTAAAAAGTTTACAAAAAGTAGAAAAAATATTCCTCTGATCACAATGAACATAGGTTTCAGACAAATAAGTTCAAGGCAGACTCTAAACACTATGGAAATAAGTATTCCAATCTGATAATACATTACAATTCTTTTAACCTTAGAATGATCACTTAAGACATAATAACTATTATAGTGCAGTAAATTTTTCAGTTTAACAGTTACTTTTCTTTTCCTATCTACTATTCAATTAAAATTAAAATATATACTTTTAATTTAAAAAAAAAAACAATGGTGGGTATGGTCTCATTTTGTAAGTTTCTCTAAATTTCTTTTCTTTTTTTTTTTTTTGGTTGTTGTTGGTGGGGATCAAACCCAGGGCCTGTGCATGCAGGGCAAGCAGTCTACACCGAGCTGCATCTCCAGCCCTCTCTGCATAAATTCTATAGGAAATTAATGTTTAGCTAATACTGATAATGATTATTTCTAAGTTATCAAATATTTTTTTAAAAAACTTTTATCTTTGAAACATTCTACATTTCTAATGATTATTTCAAATCATTATGCTGTATCTTACCAAAAAAAAAAAAAATCTTGAATTGTCTTAAAAACTAGGTAGTAAACTTAAAACGATCAATTCTGGGTGATAAGGCATTTGACATGATTTTTTTCTTGGTACACTTAACTGAACTAATGACTTAGGTATGAGTAGAGAGTGAAAGAAAGAAGGTGTTCCCACCTGCACGCATCCTTTTGTGAACCTGCCGTCCTGGCACCCCCTGGCCAAGGCCCAGAGTGGCACTGAAAACTCTTTTCCAGACCTTTAGGAGGATCCCAGAAGCCATGCCTCTTGGTGAGCCTGTCTTTGTGGGGGTGGTTTATGGGACGGTCCTCTGCCCACTAGAAGGTGTCAAACAGATTTGGGCACAGGGAAGGAGGACAGGAGAGACACTCTGTGAAAACACGAGCCTGTTGGGGCTTGAACTTTTAAGCACGTGGTGAGATAGAATTCACACACCCTAACATCCGCCCTTTCAAAGCGGAGGATGCCGCAGTTTTTAGCAGATTCACCAAGTTGTGAAACCATCACCGCTGTCTAATCCGCCCCTCCCAACAGGAACCCCTGCCCATCAGCAGTTCACCCTGTCCGCAGCCACTGACCCCCTTTCTGTCTCTGCAGATTTGCTGATTCTGAACATTTTGTATAAATGGGGTCATACGAATGTGCTCTTTTGTGAGTGGCTTCCGTCGCTCAGCATAATGTTTTCAAGAGTCATTTATGTTGTAGCATGTGACAGGACTCGATTCCTTCTTTAGAGGCTGAATAATACACCATTGTGTAGATACGTCACATGTTATTTATCCATTTCTCTGCTAATGGACCTGAGCAGGTTTTTCCATTTTTTGGCTCTAGGACCATTCATCGATGAGTCACTGTGGGAAGATATGGTTACATCCTTCCTGGGTTTGTGCCTTGGGGTGGAGTTGCTGGGTCCTGGGATAACCGTTGGTATAGGCACCCAAACACTGAAGTTGCCGTCTTCCTCTTTATTTTCAGGCGGAAATGGTGCACGGTGCCTTCCAGGCCCAGCGGGCGTTTCTTCTGATGGCCTCGCAGTACCAACAACCCCAGGAGGTAAGAAGAGTCGTGAGAGTCAGGCTGCCCAGGGAGTGGCAGAGTAAGACCTGGGGCAGGGAACCAGCAGGTCCATTTCCTGCAAGGGAAATCCAAAAGGAGACTACTAGCACTTTCCGATTCCACCTCTGATCCAGTCGTGGTGTGGAACATTTCTTCTGTCTTTATATGATCTTAGGAGGCACGTTTTTAAGACTATCTATGCCAGGCTGGGTCTGTGGCTCAGTGGTAGAGCGCTTGCCCAGCACGTGTGAGGCACTGGGTTCAATTCTCAGCATCACATAAAACTAAATGAATAAAATAAGGGTCCATCAACAACTAAAAAAAATTTTTTTAAAAGAATATATATGCCAGTTACAAAAAGAAAGCATTATGTGTGTCTTCTTACTACCGATATTGGGTCATTACGGCTAAATCCATAGCCCAGCAATGGACATCGCTAAGCCAAAAGGTCATCTGTAACCTGTTCTTTTTACGGGCCTCCCAACGTTTTTATGACTGAGGAAATGTTCACCCCTAACTTTTACTGCTGATTTTGTGCTGCGTTGTTGTCAAAGACAGTTCACCTCCACGATCAGCCATAAGGTCTTCGCATGGATTTGATTAGCTCCTGGGTCGTAAGCAGCAGGGCCAGGCGGAGTCAGAGCTTTTCAGGCCTCTTCTGTTTCTGGGGGACCTCGGGAGCATCGTGGCAGTTTCTGATTCATTGGGTCTGGAATGTGGCCCGAGATGTTCTTGTTAATCAGCTCCTAAGTGATTCCCAAACTGCTGATCTTCTTTCTCATTCAGTAAGATCCTCTCCAATTTGGGTGTTTTAAGAGTGAGGATGAGCAGCTTGAGCATCACTTAGGAGCTTATTAAAAAGCAAAAACACCCAAATGGGAGAGAACTCTTATGAATCTGTAAGTATGCAGGCCTAGCCCACCTCTCCTTTCTCTGCCACGAGGAATACAGATTAACATTCCTTAAACGTATTGAGAGATGTGAGAGGGTTCGATGCTAATTGCAACAACATTGTCGATGTTATCATTTTAATGACCTTTAACTTATTGTACATAGCCATGTAGGGCCCAGAGCAAATTCTAATATATATATAGGAATAAAAATGATAAGAGAGGTTGGGTGTGGTGGTGCACACCTCTAACCCTAGCTACTCAGGAGGCTGAGATCACAGGTTCAAGGCCAGCCTTGGCGATTTAGTGAGTCCCTTTCCCAAAATTTTTTAAAAAGGGCTGGGGAGGAAGCTCAATAGTACAGTGCTCCTGGGCTCCATCCCCAGGACTCAGGGGGGAAAAAATGATCAGAGTCAAATGGTGGTTGGTATGGGTCCTTCCCATTTCCCAGACCACCATAAAATTGCTCATTCTCTAAAGCCAGGCCCCACCCACAAGTCCAAACCAGTGACATCATGTCATGCAGATGGCCACATTCCCTTTACCACACATTCATAATGTCTCCATCATGCCGAATTGGTAATGAATGAAATTATTCATTAAAAAGCTCATCTACTGCCAACATATTTTGTGAGATAAGAGATACAAATTGCTCTTTTGACTAAATATCATGCATCTAAAGTTGATCAAAATGATATAAATAAAAAGGATGAATTGATCCTATAGGATGACACGGTAGCTTAAAGGTAATAGCTTACTTTGAATTTAAAAACACCTCCTGAAATTAAAAGAGTTGAGCTGAGAATCAGGGAATACAGAACCTTGGCCTTCAGGGGCCAACACTCAGCTCCGGAAAGGAACAACCCCTGAGACCCCCGTACCCTCCCTGGAACAGCCATTCCCAGCCTTGCCTGTGCTGTAGGATCACCTGGAAGGTTCCGTTCTGTTCTGTTTTCAATGCCAATGCCCCGAGCTAGTCATGGTGGTGCACACCGCTGATCCCAGCAATTCAGGAGGTCGAGGCAGGAGGATTGCAAGTTCACGGCCAGCTTCAGCAACTTAGGAAGGTCCTAAGCAACTGAGCAAGATCCTGTCTCTAAACAAAAAAATAAAAAAAGGGCTGGGATTGTGGCTTAATAGAAAAGCACCTCTGGCTTCAATCCCCAGTACCCAAAGCATAAGAATATAAAAATAAATAAAAACCGATGCTACCCTGAGTCATTCTGACATAGCTTGTCTGAAGAGTGACCTTGACCTGACTTTCTTTGCTGGTGCTGGACTCAGTCCCTTGGCCACAGCTCCAAAGGTAATTCTAACTGTAAATAGTTCTGCTGTCTCCCATCTGAAGATGTGTTACTTCCCTCCGTGTGAGAGGAGGCATGAGCACACTGCCAGGCAGTGGGTCTGCAGAGATGCAAAGATTCCATTTTCCCTGGTAGAAGGAAATGCCTGCGTGGCCTTCTCTGTCCCTGCTTTGCAAAAGAAAAATGCAACTAGGAAATTACGGTGTAATACCTTCTGGGTTCCGCCTCGGCCTGCCTACTGATTAAGGGAGGAGAGGAGGTTTCCGTTGGGTCTCAGGTGGGCGAACTGTGACTTTTCCTCCCTGGTGATCCTGGCAGTCCCTTCTCTAAGCCTCATGGAAGAGGCACTCACTAAACACTGATGAGGACTGAGTTAGTGTGGGGTGAGCTGGTACACTGGAACCATGGTCAGGGCACCTGTGTGGCTGGGCACATGGCTTGCAGAGTTGGGTGATGGTATCTTCACTTCTCCCTCTTGCTCTGCTGCATTCCTGATAGAAGGAGGCAAGCATGTATGGCACTGTCCCCAGAGGCACTTACACAGTGCTCTCAGTGTACTAAGGCCCAGCAGGAACAGGGAGGCAAAGGCACATCGGTTTTTTGGTGCCCGCCTCCATTTCTGACCCTACTATCTACTTCTCTTCCTCCTTCACCCAGAGTACTGGCCTGCAGCTTGCACCTGGGAGAAAATCGAGTTAGAGAGGATAGATCATAAAGAGCATTATCATAAAGCTCAGGGTATTTTCTCATGGGAGCAATATTGTATCAGTCTATGTTATTGTTTTTTTTTTCTTCTTTCAGGAGGGAAAGGATTAGCTGCTATAATTTTAACTCCCACTGACATCCAGGAGTGCGTGAGAATTTTTTTGGTGTGCGTGAGAATCCCCCGGATGGTTAAGTCACAGAATGCTGGGCCCCACTCACCGAGTTTCCAATTCAGTAGGTCTTGGCTGAGCCCCGGGTATGTGCGGTTCTAAGGAGTCTCCGGGTGATGGAGATGCAGCTGGTCCAGGGACCACACTTTGAGAAGCTGCTGTGTGTGGATCGCCCTCCCCATTAAACCTTCAGCTCAAATGTTATTTCAGAAGCTTCAGAATTTACCTTCCAACTGCCTCTAGACCACTGCTTCTCAAACTTTACTCTTCACCTGGAGATTTTGTTCAAGTAGAGGGACAGACGAGTGGCAGCAGTATCACCTGGGAATTTTTCAGAACTAGACATTTTGGGCCCAGTTGAAACCTATTAAAATTCCCAGGTGATACTGCTGCCACTCGTCTGTCCCTGCACTTTGAGTCGCAAGTCCTCGCCACCCAAAGTCTCCACATGCGCAAGATCCCTCAGTACTCAAACCTCAAACTAATATTCTCTTCTTAACATTTCTCTGTCAAAGTAGGCTACACCATGCTGCAGTAACAAACATCTCCAAGACTCAGTGGCTTGGAATTGTAAAGACTGATTTCGTGATCCCACTGCATGCCCGTTACAAGTTGACTCACTTTCTGGTGGAGGAGTTACTAAGTAATCACTCATATAATTGTTTTAGAGTCATAATGGGGTTCTGAGAGAAAATGGTAGAGAATGACTTTTTAATTGGAGTTTGGGATATGGGGAAGGAAGATATTTTAGGATGGGAGGACCTTCCAAATGTGCCTTGGATTCTGATAATGAAGGTGACCACCCACAATGCCAAAGTATAAAGCAAAGCTAAACCAGAGAGACTTTATTACACCTTGATTCAGATTTCTGACCTAGAGAAACTGGAAGGTAATAAATGGGTATTTTAAGCCATTCCGTTTGGGGTAATTTGTTATGCAGCCAGCAATAGAAAACTAACACGGTTGCCTTGATTCCCTTCATGCTGTTTTTTTGTTTTGTTTTGTTTTGTTTTGAGGGGGAATTGGGGATTGAACTCTGGGGCACTTAACCACTGAGCCACACCCCTAGACCTTTTTTGGGTTGGGGGACAGTTTCTTGCTAAAGTACTAAGGCTGGCTTTGAACTTGTGATCCTCCTGCCTCAGCCTCCTGAGCCACTGGGATGACAGGCATGAACCACCATGCTTGGCTCCTGCTGGATTCTGAAACAACTTTTTGAAATAAGGATATGGGACCAGGCATGGTAAAGCACATGCCAGAAATCCTCGTGACTCAGGAAACTGAGGAAAGAGGATCCTAAATTTGAAACCAGCCGTATCAACTTATCAAGACCCTCAGTGACTAAACGAGACCCTGTCTCGAAATAAAAAATAAAAATAAAAGGTACAGGTACGAAAACACTTTGTGCGCAACCAGAGATATGGAAAATGGTGCTCTCTATGTGTAATATGAATTGTAATGCATTCTGCTGTCATAGGTAATAAATTAGAATAAATAAAAAATGTATATATATATAAAAGGGCCGGGGATGTACCTCAGTGTTGGAACACCCATGGGTTCGATCCCTCGCACAAAAAGAAGAAAGAAAGGAAGGAACCCAGGGAGGGAGGGAGGGAAAGGAAGGGAAGGAAAGATTAAAGCTATAGGCTGCAAACCAAAATGAAATGTGTCCCCTAGTACCTGAATCCAAATCCTCCATCTATCCTAGAAGAAGCAGGATAAGAGGTTGATCGACAGCCCTGATTGACAATGGTGACATCCAATTCCAAGTTTCCTTTCTCTCTTTGGTACCAAGCAATAAGTCTCTTGCATTCTCTCATAGAAGGGCTTTCAAATTTTTCAACCATGACCCACAGAAAAAAAAAATCTATTTTCTTTCATCACTTAGTTTCACAAAACAACAATTATTTTTGCCATGTGCATAGCAT